TCTCTTTCAAGCTAGGAGGTTCTTACAGGGGAATCATCACTAACAACAAAAAGCTAATATATATGATATACGCATACATACCCTATATTTATAATCTCCGCATGTGTGTTTCTGATGAGGTGAGAATGGACTGAACTAACTGGCCATGAAAGCAAGGGTCACTGCAACTGTATCTTAATAGAGTGTCGCAAATTGCTGTGGACAGCCTGCCAGCTCTTGGCCCTGCCCATTGCCACAACAATTCTTGAGTCTCTGTGTGGATGTACCATAAAAACACTAGTTTGAATTTCAAAGAACACGCCTTTGAACTTTTCCCCCACCTGATTTAGACACTGAGGTGGTGTGTGAATGTGTGCTCTGGGATGTTTCTGCGTGGGCATGAGGTCTCTAGGAGGTTTTGTTCACCGGGAGGGGGAAGTGTGCTGGCTACCCCAGGGTGCTTTCTATGGTTTCTCCTCCATCCTTCCAGACTGTGGAAGTTTCCTGAGGTGTGTGTGTGTGGGGGGGTGGTGAGTAAACCACTGGCAGATGGGTGGATTCTAAAATCTGTGGGTTGTTTTGTCTCCTTAGCGATGGGCTTCCTTTTCTGTGGTTTAAGGTGACCACTTGGGAAAAGCAATCCTCTCTTCTGCTGCTCCTCTGAGGTTGTAGTTTCTAACCAAACTGGGACCTCAGCATAGTGGTGGCCAGCATCCCTCAAGTCTCAGCACAGATGGAGGTGATTCAGAAAAATCACAGGTCTCTCTCCAAAAGCTCCCACAAAATGAAATATATCAATTACGAAGCTGTAATCTAAGTATCCAGTGGGCAGCCAGCTTGCAAGGGTTTCAGGCCCCAGGGCCAGGGCACTTGTGTGCTCACCTCCAACTCAAGAGAGAATAATTCCCACCGTGTAGCTCTTTCTAAGCACCTTAGATGTTCCTAGCATTACGTTTTACTAAAGAACATTTGAATAGGAGAAATATACAAACGAGGAAGAACCGTGTGTCTGAAGAGCCTCCTGGCCTGGAAAACAAAGGTGGCTGATTTAATGTTTGCAAAGGCCACATTTTTGCAGAGGGAAGATGAAGTCTTTGATGATAGCCAACTTAGTGTCAATAAGTGGCTTTCTCTGAGACATATTCAGATGGGAACGTCTTGCTTGCCAATTGCCATAGAAATCTTAACACACCATGAAGATTGTCCAAGCGCCAAGCCTTCCGTTCTGGACTAAATTACTTTGAAGTGGCTCAGGACGAGCAGTGGTCAATTTTAACTCTATAGAGTGGACAGAAGATGCTGGGACTGGGAGACTGTGCGTTCTAAAGCAGAAAATAAGAAGGGGAAACTTGTTTTTATACACTCTATACAAGGCTCTGCTCACTGTCAGATATCTTTTGTCTTTTATATTTCCCATGAATGATTCATGTCTTAGTGGCTTTGTATCACCCTTTTCACAAGAAACTTCATTAGAGGGCTGCAAGTTTCCCCATTGACTGCTGTCCTCATTTACGAGTGTTTTCCTCCTTCGTGTGCTGGTTATTGTCACCGGGCTTAAAGCAACCCTTGGCAACCTGTTTCACCTTTACTACATTTAACAGACCTGACTTTGAAAAGCCACTATAACCTTTTTTTTGGAGAAATGCTTATTGATGTCACTACCAATTGTCTTTTAAATACTTGCCTTTTATCTGTTTTGTGGCGGTGAACACAAAAACAAATAAAAAGCCAGGCTTGCTGACACGCATTGCCAAACATATCAGTTTGAGCCACTAGGATGTTTTTGTTGCCGTGAAAGAATTGCTTAACACCTGCCCCAGAATGCTGAGCTTAAGTTATACCCTCCAAAATAAACTAAAATTGTAACTTGATCTTCCCCAAACCCTTGCCCCATGACCCACTATGAGCTGATTTGGTACCCTACTAGTCAGTTTCATTCCATAATTATAAATCATTCCTGAGCAATGTTGCTGTTGCCTGAAAGTTTCTTACTGTTCTCTTTTTTATTCTCAAAATCACTGTCTTTTTTTTTTTTTTTTCTTTTAGAGTTGAGGTTACGCACCAAGAAGTGTTTCTTTCAGTGACTAGAGTCACTAAGCTCATTACTAATTTTAACAAGGAAACTGGTACTGAGATTTGTGCAACTGTACTTGTAACCCAGTGATTTGTTTTCATACATTTCCTGGGATTTCTAGATCAGTGGTTCTCAACCTTTGGGTTGTGACCCCTTTGGGGCTGAATAATCCTTTCATAGGGGTTGCCAAGGCCAATGGAAAATAGATATTTTATGACTCAAACAGTAGCAAAGCTGGTTATTAAGTAGCAATGGAAATAATTTATGAGGAACTCTAAGGGTCTCGGCATTAGGAAGGTTGAGAACCACTGTTCTAGATTAAACTGTAAGTAAGCCAAACACCCACCCCATTCCCCCTCCCAATTCAGGAGCTGATGATAAGAGATCAGGGAAGGGCAAGCTAATGTTCACTACCATAGCAACTGTTCTGCTTTAAAAGAATGACAGATAATGCCACTGGGTAAAATGTAGCAATACATAGGAAGAATACCTTTATTACATGTGTCACTCCATAATCATTCTTGCTTTCTTTCTAATGGAGGTACACACTTTAAGGTTTTATTTTTCGGTGCATCAGGAACCAATAAATCTGTGGCAGTTAACCTATGCATGGCAAAATACATAAAATACATATTCCTTTGTTTCATAATAAATAAACCTGTAGCACGATAAAGACGAATAGTGCAAACTACCATTGAAAAAAGTTGTATAAATAAAACAACTCATATATCAGGAATATTTTGTCCTAACAAAATCACAGTACATAAGTTATCCCACCCAAGTTCAAACCTTATCTTTTCTATTTGAAAGGACTTTGAAAGTGAATAACGGGGGGGGGGGGGGGGAACAAACTTTTAAAATGAAGAATTATTTTATATTCAAGTTGTGGGCCTTTCTTTATAAAGGAGGGTCTGCATGTGTCATATTTACTGTAACAATCTGAAGACAACATTGAAAGGTGTCCATGTAACAGCACCATGCATTATACTAGTAATATAATCTATAAACTATAATCTCATCAACACGAGGCAGAAAGACATGCAGGAAGAGTTTCGGGTTTTCACATTACCTTGTCCATTCAAGTAAGCTTAAAAATATATTTTATATTCCCCCCTTTCCTTTTCTCTTTTCTTAAATAAACCATGGATCATAAATGACAATCTTTCACCAAAATGTATAATATATTTCTTTGGTGTGCTTTGAACTCTTCCAGAAACAGAAAAGGCTCTCTAAAAATAAATTAATTAAAAAAAAAAGAACTGTACAGATAAAAGTATTCACAGACACTTACTAACAATGACAAGACTACATCCACCACTCACAACACACACAACAGATTTCCAAAAATCCTGGGGAAGGGGGGTGTTGTGTCTTCAAGATTTCTGAGGATAAATTAGCGTTCTTAAATATGTGCTTCTGTTGGGCTACAGTTTGCACGGGAGATGTGTTGTACCAACTGAACATAAACTGACCAAGAGTTACTGTCCTAGGTCCTTGACCCTTTGTGTCCTGTCTTGACAGCTCTGGCAAAGGTCACACATTCATCAGTGTTTGGTAGTAACTATAAACCCTTTAAAAAATTTAACATGTATAGCAACTCCTCCTCTTGTAATGTAAATTGTATACTTCACACTGTCATATTCAAATGGAAGAGGTTTTGGTGCCCATAGAGCAATTAAAAATAAGCTTAAAAAAAAAAAAGGTTGATACAGTAGCATTAAAAGGAGAGTTGGCTTGTTAAAAATAAATAAATAAAAGGTTGATACAGTAGCATTAAAAGGAGAGTTTGCTTGTTTAAAAAAAAATCTTTGAAAGATAGGCAAGATGCCACCATCACACCTCCTTAGCCTCTACTGTGCAAGCTGGCACCCCCCCACACACACACACAAAAAAGCCCCATGGTCAAAACACAACTCTTGACTCCTCATTACCCAACAAGTTAGGATGCAGCAAGAGGCAGCACCTGAAATTCCCAATTTAAGAAAAACAAAAAACAAAAATAAAAACAAAACAAAACAAAACAAAAAAAAGCACAACCCAGCAGAGGAAAAAGAAAGCACTTGGAATTACTTGTAGTTTACAAAAGATCACAGTTTCCAGTTGTCTGTCCCAGCAGCTCTTCTGTTTCTGCTTGAACAATCACAGTAGCATGATATAGGGAGATACATCAGGGAGGCTGCACTTGGCTTGGTGTTTTGTTTCATTTTTTTTTCTTTCCTTTTTTTAAAATCACACAAGGAAAGTTACTGAAGGAACGATCCTGTATAAAAATATCATGTTACGCTGAGATCGGTAATAAAAGCACAGGAACTGAAATGATAAATATCAGAGATTGAAGTTTTTTTCATTTTGTCTTGTTTTTGTTTTTTTATACAAAGACTTTTGGACGCAGGCACAGTCCAGGATCTGTTGTCAATGCAGCAAGTGTGTGTTGTACAATCAAGAGGCCTTTGCAGAATTAGGTCTCAAAAGCAGCGCTCATTATGGTGTCAAAGGCATCTGAGAGGCACTCGGGGACATGGTGAGGGCCTGGTTGATGTGTTAAGGTCTGACTTAATGTTCTTTTTTTCCCCCCTCTCCCATTTAATAGATATACTCACACACAGGTACACACGCATGCACGCACACGCGCGTGTGCACACACACACACACACACATTTATTGGCAGTGTATATCTCAATTTCTGTACTAATTTTCCTCAATAGACTCTGCCTTCAGGCCTGTCCCAATGCAATGGACAAGTCTAGCTTGGTTGCTTTTTATTTTTTTGCCATAAAAATTTTCCCCCACAGTGCTAAAGACTGAACCCAGGGCCTCACGCATGGTGGCAAGGGCTCTAACACTGAGCTGCATCTCCAGTCCTGTTTTCTTTTTTGTTTGTTTGTTTTTTGTTTTGTTTTGTTTTTTTTTTTAGGAGAAAGAGAAAGAGAAAAAAACCAAACCAAATACCTTAATTAAATTAATTAAATGTACAAACACCATAGGGTTTCATACTGAATAAATAGGGCTAATTAGACCCGGTGGCAAGTCTGAGTCACCAGTTAGTCTCAGGCTCGGCATTGTCTCAGGTTAGGATATGGTCCAAGGACTCCCACTTACTATCTCACTCACTAATAATCATTCTAATGTATCGTCCGCACAACTTCAGGGTTCCCGTACATTTCCTCGTCTTCAGACTCAGAGGTGGTTCCATTGCTGGAAGGCGTGTGGAGGTGGCTGGGGGCCCCACTGGCCTGGCAAACATACCACTCACTGAGGTTGGTCACCTGAGGGGACAGAGTGCTGGATCGACTCCTAGTTGGGTCCAGCACAGGGGATAAAGTGTCACCCACCGGAGTCCCCACTGATGAGTATCCAAGGGCTCCTGGAGAAGGTGGGGGGGACTTGCAGTGAATCTTCATGTGTTTCCTCAGAGAGCTTGGGTGAGTATAGGATTTGTCACAGCCTCGGATCTTACAGTAGTAGGGCTTGTCACTGGTGTGAACATGGGAATGTTTCTTTCGATCACTGCTGTTGGCAAACTTCCTGTCACAGCCATCAAATTCACATTTGAAAGGCTTTTCCCCTGTAACAGAACACAGGAAAGGTTAACAATGGCTTTCCAGAGACCTCTCATTGGAAGAAATCTTAGAATAGAACTAGAGGTTCATTCCAGCCCCCCCCTCCCGTGAAGAGCAGCTCCCAGCCCGTGAAGAGCAGCTCCCAGCTTTATTCCTAACTGCAGTATTCCAGGCATGCAAGGGAAAAGGCTCTGCAAGGACTGGCCTGTGCCCACTGGCCTGGGGGCTTTGCTTGGACTTTGGGTTGTGAGGGCCCAGATGTTAGCTCCTGCAGCACCAGAGGGGTCAAAGCGAAATCTGAAGTAAAGCACTGCAAGGCCCTCCATGGTACCCCCTCACCATACACACATACACTCCCTTAGCATCTGAATGCAAGTGGGAGTTTCCCTGTGTTAAGATAGACGCCAATGAAACCGTATTTCCAAAACGATAGGCATAGAATCAAATAACAAGTACAACAAACACGACTATATATACTAATTCACAGTAGCTTGGTGGGGGGGCACAGTAAGATGACAGTGGCATGTTACTGAGTCTTCCTAGACTTCACTGGTGGGACAAGAAAGGAGAAAAACTGAACACACCTCTTCTCAGGCACCTGTGAGACACACAATCTTATCCTGAGATTTTACAAAGCTGGTTGGGCAGAGGCCAGGCCTTCCAACAACTATACCCCTGTAACTCCAAGGTGTAAAAGAAGCAGGGTGCTAGAAAGCACAGAGCCTCAGCAGAACCTGCCTTACCTATCCTGACAGCACCCTTCACTCCCTAGTAATCAACCAAAACTATGTTTTTAAAACCAAAGTCCTTTGGCCTATCACCTCTTTTAACTTATCCATCAGCCCCAAGAACACGCAACTCCTTAAACACAAGGCCACAAATCCAGGAAGTGAGGCTGCTCAGTAAGCTGAGACTAGAGAAATTTAGCCGAATCACTTTGGTGTTTATAAACAGGAGAAGACAACAGGTTAGATTATAACTGTGTTTCCCGCTGACCTCAGTATCTATGAGCTTGATGCATTCAGGCCCAAAACTAAGTAAGTCATCCCATAATACTGCTTTTTATACTATTCTTTCTTTCCATTGAGAGGATTAAAAACAACAACAAACCAACAGCTTCTTTGACACAGAACATAGGACAATGCTTTTTGTTTTGGATATTTTTAAAAAAGGCGTAACAGTAGCTAAATCTCTTATCTTTTTGTCCATACAAATATTTCAATGGAGTCCTTTTTCTTTCATATTTTGTCAATGGTAACTGCTCCAGTGCCAGAGTATAACACAGTTGAAAGTATTTAGATACCTAAAATAGAACTTTTCATAACTGGAAATGCTAATTAAAAATGAAATTAGTTATTCTTGAAACGTGCCTCCTATGTTAACCCACCGTTGGAAGGGATACACAGCTCACAATGATAATCACAAGCTTTAAAAATTCTCTATAGATGGAGCAGAATACAATGTTAATCCCTTCCTATCAGAACATGGATTTGTCAGGATTTCTGCATTACCCTGTAAGTTCAAGGTAAGCCTCATTTAACACAGCACCCTTTAAATAAAAATAACATGTTAAATGTTTATATACATGTACTATATATACATACATATAAACCAGCCCCTTCAGTATGGAGGCAATACATTTTTTAAATTCTCATTTTTCTGAGCTGCCTACGTATCTTAGGGAAAAGTAAGTGTTTTGAAATCTGCTGTTTCCTGGAGAAAGAGTTGCAGGGTTCAGTGAAGGAGATAGGGGAAGTTTATGGTAAGAGGCAGGAGAGAGGGGACGAAAAAGAAGCTAGACATAATTGAACAGCCTATGTTGTTTAGGGTCTTAGGAAGGCCTAACCAGAAGGGCTGGGCGACCCCAGTGTTTCCCATACAGACACTGACAGAGAGGTCATGTCAAAATTGAACTATGCCGAGTTTTGGAGACTTGGTGCTTGTAGCAAAGAGCTGTGTGGATACTGCCTAGATCTTGCCAACTCCCTGTAGACACCGGCCAGACACAGGTTATAAATGCAGCAGAGGGCACGTGGGTCAGGAAACAGGCCTTTAGGAGTGGCCTGGGGATTAGTCCTTCCATCCATCTGTTCTGAGATCCCAGATAACCCCTCAAGGGAAGGCAGTGGTAGCTGAGATGGTGCCCTCTCAATACAATGCCCAAAGGAAAGCCCTGGGAGACCCAAACACTAGCAAGCTCGCTATGAACTGAGTCGGTGGTGGTGGTGGCAGCATCCTTCTTGAGGGATGCCCACAAGCTCCACCTGGAAGGGTCCACGCAGCCTCTGGGAGTGGGAACAACAAGCGTAACACCATCCCTGCTACGTGGAACCAGGGCAACCAGAAAGAAAATCCTGCCGTGGGGCCCCCTCACCACCACTACCAACTTGCTGCCACGGATAGGTTCAGAGGGCAGCCTGTCCTGTGGGAACCCAAAAGCCACGATGCATGTGAATCTGTCAGTCAGTTTCTACTTGGTTAGCTGCCAGCAGCCTCCAGGGTAAGGTCCACTAGCCTCCCGAGGCCCGGGAAAGTGGAGAGGGCTCAAAGTCTTCTGCACTGCATTTTGAAGTTCCCTTTAGCCCTGGCTGTGTCGGGGAATTGTTGAGCATGCAGCTTGCAGCTGCCTTAGCTGGCCTGGTTGTTTTTACGAGAGTCTCCTCTCGTGGGAAGTTTCCGTTTGGAAAAGTCATTAAGGAGAATCGATCCCAGTTACAGAAAGGGGAGGGGGAAAAAGAGGCCTCGAGGGAAAACATACTTCTAGATGGTCCTGTGAGAGTCACAGGGAGGCCTGCAAGGTATAGGGCCACAAGAGCAAGGCCTGAGGCTGAGAACCGGGATGCTCTCATAAAGACCAAGGCCTCAGGAAGGTAGGCCCCACGTAAAGGCCCATGCTTGGGGCTTCCTCTTCGTCCCTGATGCGCAGATAAATCAGTCAAGTAATTATAGAATGTAAACTCAGGTTACGTAAGTGTCCTCGGAGGAGTAATATTGCCTAGCATATAAATCTCGACTACACTTGCGCTGTAGAGCGCGTTAGCCTGGCGCGATTGTGCATTCCACAGTACCACAGGAACCATCCCTCTACTGCCCCACGCCTCAGCCTTCCTCACCAGAGCCACGATGTGGGAGGAGGGTCCTCACGGAGTTGAGTTTTCACCACGTTCCACTGAAGGGTAGGCCTTTCCGACCCAGGAAACCACCCTCACTGGGACTAGAACCTTAAGCCTACCTCTCCAGTGCCCAACACACTCTAGGCAGGGCCGGTAGAACGTGTGTGAGCCGGTGCGTGAGGGTATGCAAATGAAGTGTTGAGTGTGGATGTATGTGTGAGACAGGTCCTAGTGTCACAAGAGTGTGGTGCAGGAGGTCAGAAATGTGGAAACTAGTGTGCGATGCGCGCCCGTGAAGATGTACGAGTTCGTGTGAATGGCTGGAGGCCTCCTACAATCGGCCCCGAAGGCACCCGGACCCGTTTTCCCAGGTGAAGACGCACTGCTCAGCCCCCAAACCCCAGAAAATCCCACGCGCCCCTCCTACACCCTATCTCAGCAACGCAGCGATCGCTGGAGGCCTGCGTCCGGTGGGGAAGGAAGGTGCCACCCCAGCCAGAGGTCCCTTCCCCATGGGCCTTCAGAACTCCCGGGGCCGGGCGCGTGGAGGGCTGCCGACCGTCCTGGGCGCCTTCCTGCTGCTGCTGCTGCTGCTCCCGGGCGGCGGCGGAGGCGGTGGCGGCTGGAGCGCTTTGCCGGTCCCGGCGGAGGGGCTGCGGGCGCGCTGGAAACTCCGCCAAGAGGGAGGCCAGCGCGGGGCCTGTGTGTGCTATCGAATTACTTATTCATAGAAGAAAAAAAAAAAAAAAAAGGAGGGGGGGAGAGAAAAAAAAAAAAAAGAAGTCACATGTCCGGGTTATACGTATGCGGAGAAGCAGCAGAAGGAGGGAAAAATGAAAGCTAGCAGAAGGCGAAGCAGCGGCGAGGAGGCGGCGCAGGCGGTGGCGGCGGCGGCGCGGCCGGGAACAGACACCCACCTGTATGAGTGCGCTTGTGGATCTTGAGGTTCTCGGAGCGCGCGAAGACCTTGCCGCAGCCCGGGAACGGGCAGGGGAAGGGCTTCTCTCCGGTGTGCACGCGGATGTGGTTGATGAGCTTGTACTTGGCCTTGAAGGGCTTGCCCTCGCGCGGACATTCCTCCCAGAAGCAGACGTGGCTGCTCTGCTCCGGGCCGCCCACGTGCTCCACCGTGACGTGGTTCACCAGCTCGTGCATGGTGCCGAAAGTTTTGGAGCAGGGCTTGGCGCCGCTGGCCGCAGGCGGCGGCGGCGGCGGCCCGGCCAGCTCCTCCGGGTCCAGCCACTTGCAGATGAGCTCCCGCTTGATTGGCTGCCGCATGTAGCGCAGGAAGGCCCCGGCCGCCCCCGGGAGGTGGGGGTGGTAAGGTTGCTGCGCGGGCGCTGGCGGCGGCGCCGGGGGCGGCGCGTGGTGCTGCAGGTGGGGCCCGGGCCCCGCGGCCGCCGCGGCCGCCGCGGCCGCAGCCAGGTTCAGGTTTAAGTTCACGGCTCCGTAGCCGTGCAAGGCGGCGGCTGCAGCGGCCGCCACCGCCCCGTAGTGCGCGTCCCCTGAGCGCGGAGCGAAGGGTGGCTCCGCGCGGCCGTACAGCTCGGCCGCAGCCGCTGCAGCGGCCGCCAGCCCCAGGCGCATCTGGCCGTTGAGCGGGTGCCCGCCAGGAGCACCCGGAGAGTCGTGCAGCGCGGGAAAGAGCGCGGGGCCGCCACCGTCCCGGCCCGCGTAGGTGCCGCTGGCCGAGATGAACATCCCGGCCGGGTGGGGAGGCGGGGTCGGGTGCTGGGGGGAGCTGCTGCCGGACCTCTGCTCCCCTCCGAGCGGGGCCCCGTGCATGGCCGCCGCGGGGGCCGTGACGGAAAGGTCCCTCCGGAGGACGAAGTCCCTGCTGTGGCCTTTGCCGCTGCTGCCGCCGCCGCCACTGTTGGTGGCGGTGTAGCCCGAGAGGGCAGAAGGAGGAGGCGGGGGAGGGGGAGAGGGGGACTGGGAGGGAGGAAGAGGAGGGGCTGGAGGCGGGGGCGCCGAGGCCTGCGCGCCACCGCTGCCCCCGCCGTCGGGGTGGGTGCGGGCTCCCGGGTGCGCCTCTGAGGCCGCGGAGCGGGCGGCGGGCGCGGGAACCTGGGGCTGTCCCCGCAGCGCCTGAGCGGGAGGGCTGGGGCCGTGCCCACTGGCCTGTGCCATGTGCTCGGGTCCCAGCGCAGTGCTGGCCGCGCCGGGGTCAGTGTCTGGGTCCCGCGGGTGGAGATGCGCGGAGGCGGCGCGGAGTTGGGAGTGGGCGGGCGGGCCGGCCAGCACCGGGAAGCCTGTCATATTCTGAAGCTGTTGGGCCTGAGCCGTTGCCAAATCCGCTAATCTCAGCTCTGGCGGGTTCCTCTTGCTGAAAAGGGGTTCCATCATAACTATACAATCAGGCCCATAGACCCTCGCTGGGGGCACTTTTCCCCCCTCTGCCCGCCTTCAAAAACATGTATATATTAGGCGCTCTTTAACTTCTTGTGTCCTGGCCTCCTAACTGCTTATTCTTGTCCCCTTTCTATCCTCCAGCGATTGGCAGAGTGAACACCACATTTGAGCTGCACAGTGGGACCGAGTTTTTGGAAATGGCACGGGTGGGATTGGAGGGAGCCGTGTGATTGGCAGCTGCCTCGGCTGCGCGATTGGCTCCGATTCAGGCTCTGGGCGCAGCGGGAAACCGCCCCCCGAGCTCGAGACCGCCTGCGCTTTCGCTTCGCGCCCCCTCCTCCCCGGGAGCTCTGCCTGCCAATCCCCCCCCTCTCCCGCCCCACCCCCCGGATACCTAAGTTCCACTTGCAGAACTTTGCGCTTGGCCTGCTTCCTCAGTACCCTGCGAACGTTCGGTGGACGCGCCTGGAATAGAGCGTCTGCTAGCTCCGGGCCAGGGTGCGCTAATTGCCAGGGGTCAAGGGACCTCCCTACCAGGGGTAAAGCGACGGGGGTTGGGGTGAAGAAGAACCCCAAAGTGGTAGTACTCGAACACTTTCTACCTCCTCTCTTGGATGATCCCTGGCTTCTCTCTCTACCCAGTGACCATCCTACCAGAGATGGCAGAAACTTCTTATATGGACCTCGTCTGCCACTGGGCCCACGTGGGGTATAGACTGGAGGCGGAAGGGGGACGATTATTAAACGTTACTGATTGCAAAACAATTCGATGGGGCTTGGCAAAATACCAAAGTCAAAATAATATATAACTCTTTCCCCCAAAGAACAGTCTTACTTAGACTATTTTAGCTCATGAGTTGCCATTCAAATATGGTTCAAAGGAACGGGCTCAGGATGTAAACTCGGTATTCATGGGTTCTAGACCTGCTACTTCCAATGAGATGTCCCTGAGGGGCGGGGAGTATGGAGTGTGTGTGGGGGGGGAGCTAACTTTTGCTTCTCAGGGAAGGCCAAGTAGAATCTCTCCCAAGTGAAGCCGTTAAGTAAGGGGCCTTCTCTAAGCAGCCGGTCTTCTTCTTGCCCAGGGTGCACTCCTCATATATGCCTCAGTTTCTCCGGAAGGACTGCAAGTTGGGTTAGACGAAATAAAATATTAAAAAATCAGTGAGTATCTTGCCTATTTATTAATAAAATAAGCGTCCTCCTTCTTAAACTGAAATGCCATGCTTGAAACAAACAAACAAGAAACAAATCTGGGATGCCCCGCTCTCATTTTTAGCGGTTTCTGCCATCCCTTTGCATCCATTTGCCTCCAAACCAGTTTTAAAAATATAAGTAAGTCCCTGCACCATGGCGGGGGTCAGGGAGACAAATGTGAAACCCCCGTTAAATAGGAGTTTCAATCGCCCAAAGTGCCAATTTTTTTTTGATAAAATAATACTTTTGTGATGTTCTAAAATGCTCAAACTCGAGCAACACTATTTTGATTTCTTCAATAAAATCATCTATAAAGTAGTAATAAAAGTCAAATATGATTCACACACACACATCCGGAGGTGGAGAGTGGGGTGGGTGGGAAGTAGGGGGCAAGAAATAATGTTCAAGCTTAAATCATTTGCAGTCTGAGTGAAGATCACCCCCCCACACACAAAAGCTGTCATCAGATCATAACCCTCAAAAGAAATAAGCATTATTTTCAAAGGAGTTGATTTGCTAGCACCATTGACATTGGTGTGAACTGTGCTGGAGGAGCCTGCCTATGAACCTTGGGAATGTCATTTCTCTTACAAAGTTGACAACCAAACAAAGACAACCATGCTATCACGTTCTAAATGCCTTCTTCTTTTAGCTTAAATGAAGTTTAAATCTAGGGAACATGCAAAGGGCCTGAGCACCCACACAGTCACAGTAATCAAATCCACATCTGTATTTGGTGAGGGGAATTCTTTGGTGACTTGTTTCAGAGACTTAAATATCTTGAGCCAACCATGGAAAGGTTGGTGGAGAACTGTGGTATCTGTATAGATGTATAAAGGAAGTGTCACATTGGTAATTATTACCACTGTCTCCATTTCTTTGAAGGACATTTCAAATGATTTTCCTTTATTTTAACCTCTTGGCAATAAACGTCCATACTGGCAGTAATGACAGCTCTGAGTGCACTCTTGCAGGTTATCAGCAAAAGCAAACTAATCCCAAAAAAGTGAATAAAGGAAATAAGTACAACCTAGTTTATAATAAAGACCTTTGAGCAATTTTATTGTGCAATAAAATGGGTACCTCCACCCCCTTCAAAATGGCTTTTCGTCAAAATTATAACTGCTTTGTTTTATTGAATTGCTGAAATTTAATGGTTTAATGGATGGAGGCATGAAGGAAAGGCTGTAAAAATGTGCATAATGCTACAGCAGACCCGTGTGGAATCTGGAACCCGCCTCCTTGTACAACTCTTGTTAAACACAGCATGATATGTATCTGTCATCGATTTAATATGTCTTAATTCAAATATAGCTCCCTGATCAATTTCTTTTTATGGGAGGCCTAGGAAAAAAGAAAGGAAGGAAGGAAGGAAGTAGAAAACACTTTCTTTGGAAATAACAGAAATTTGGTTGGTGACTGGAAAGGGAATATTTACAAAGTGAGCTTAATGAATATTCAAATTTATGACAAAACCCAGACCCTAAAAAGATAATTGACTCAGGTAAATCGATTTGAGATGCTAATTCTTGAAAGAAAGGGCTGGGGGGGAGCAAAATTTCAATCAACACCAATAAGGCGCCAATAAACCTCCTGCCAATTAAACCTGAGGATAGGCCTAGCTACTCGGTCCTCAGGAAGGCTCGCTGTGGATTTCCGGGATTGCCTTGCTTTATAAAGGGCCTTTTTATTTTGTAGACGCGCTTTTTGTTATTGTGATGACCTGCCTGACCCCAGGTGCGCTGTTTCTTTTTCAAGCTGTTTGGGAGCCAACCCCAAAACCCCTTAAATCCCGACTTTCTAAGGGCTCAATAACTGTCACACTTCCTAAGTAAACAATTTTCAGAGTATTGAAGAGAATAATGTACTGGTCTCCAAAGCAGGGAGTAATAGATGCACTCATGCTAATTCCTTTCTTTTCTGTGGACGGTTATCCTGTTCTGAAGATGGAGTCTTCAGGGCCAATTCCCCAACACACACGTCCTTATCTGCACTTGCGGATGCACAGGTCCTTGCATGAAGGCAGCGATACTGAGAGCCTTAAAAACGCCGGTGCTAGAGGCAACCGGGGCTTTGGTGGCCGTAAATTTACAGAGCTCACCACGTCTGCTCTAGTAACCCCAACCTCTTTCCCAGCTCCCCCCCTCCCCAAACAAAGACTCGGGGAGGTGGAAGGCACAGCCAACTACCAGCTGGCCGGAACCCGACGTCCACGCTGCAGCTTAGCAGCCTAAAGGCCACAGAACTTGGCGCCTGGGGATGTTGCGGCAGGCTTTCCCGCTGTAGGGAGGGAGGGCTGCATCTCCCAACTCCAGGTGCCTTCCGTGCCTCACATAACAGTCAGTCAAGTTTCCTACGATGGGTGTGGGCAATTAATAAACTCTAGGGGAAGTGAATTGGACATTTCCTGGCTTTTGAGCCATTGTTTGATTGTTTCTCCAGGCGGGCGGGCGGAGGGGGGCACTTGGGGGGGGGCAGTGGGGTGGACAAGAAAGGAACCGGGGAGACCCACCGGGATGCCTTTTTATTGCCCCTGCAATTGCTTTACGACTCGCCAGTCCCGCGTGGTTTCTGAGAGGCGGCCTCCTCGCGGAAGGGCTGGGTGCAGAGCGGGTTTTGCAGTCTCGGGCCTTTTGGATCGAGCCAGAGGCGGGTTCAAGGGCGAACGGGCCCACGGAACTCCTGCAGAAGGAAGATTGACCCTGGGCGGGAATGCCAATGGGGTGCTTAACCCATGCAGGGTGGGAACTGTTAGCAGGCTGAGGATGGTGGTGGTACTTCACCCAGAGTTTTCTGCAAACCGGAGCCTGAAAGGCAAGCGAGCCAGTAGATCTTCATTTTAGCGGAACTCTATGAGGACAGGGAGAGATGGCGACTGTTGGTTGAAGGGCTTTTTCCAAATCAGGTACACTAGGCTTCCTAGGCAGCAAGGTCTACAGGGCGACTTTCCTGGCCACGCCCGCTCCGTCTTCTCTCTACAGGGACCAGATTCTCCACCCTCGCGTCCTCAAGATCGAGATTAGTTTGGCATGAGGGCTGCTACTGGTCTCAGACATCTTGGTGCTCAAAATTGTCCGATGGCCATTCGCAGCGAGCATCTCTTTAAGGATTGTCTCTCTCGCCGCCTCCTGAACTCATTCACAATCTTCATGCTCCACGGACACGTGTGGTGCAGGGTCAGCCAAAACACGTACTTTTTTCTAAGGTTTATGAGCCCTGTCACACATTCGAGGGCACGGTGGAAATGGGAAGACTGTGTTCCTGAGACTAAGACCCTGGATTGGGTGGGGGGTGAGGATATGTCTTGTCCCAATCGTTTGGATGGGGAGTGAAGAACTGGTCCCATCCTGCATTCACTTGACCTTTGCATTGACAAGCTGTTGGGAAAAAAAAAAAAAAAGGCTACTTGTACAGTTCTAAAGATAAGTTGTGTGAAATCTGCCTGTAGTCAAACATTCCCAATTGCTTCAAAATTATTTTTACAGTCAGAGACAGAGGTTGTCTGAGGAAGGCCTTTGACTTATATTTGACCACTAGGATTGGTGATTTCTTGAAAAACCCAATGTTGTGTTAAAAAAAAAAATGTTCAGCAGGTCTCAGTAAGAACCACAAAATTTTTTTTTTTTTTTTTTTTTTTAACATGGCCAAGGTTTACACCAAAGCCTACTTTTCTAGGCCTGAAGTGGACTTTTCAGGGTCTCTCACCCTTGACTATCTTCGAAGTCAGATAAAGAAGCAAGCAGAAACTTCAATGTATTTATTCCAGAATTGGGTGTCCCCCCAGTAAACACCCTCTTTGGTGTCTATGCTTCAATATTTGAAGAAGCTGTTGAGATAAATCAAATAGTGACACATTGATGGTTTTACTTGTGTAAGCAATATGGTTGACATATGGCATTGTTATTTATGAATGACAGCATAAATTGTATTACAAAGTC